CTCCAAACTCTCTCTTCTACTCATTCCGCAGCCACCACCCCAGAAAACCAAAAAACCTATTCTAACTTAGGCATCGGAGGATCTACCCCTGGGAACAACCCCGGGGTTCTGTTTTGCAGGCGTTGGAGCAAAGGAGGCGAGTCCAGGGAGACGTCGGAGCATCAATCGTCGCCACGTGTCCTCTGACTAACGTCAGGTAATTCTTGTATCATCAATAGCCATTCTATTTTTTACGATAGCCATTCTATTTTCACGAAGTTCAGTTTAATTAGCCATTCTATTTTGATGATAAGCCCACGTGTTCACATATGTGTCACGTGACCCAACAAATTCTATCAAAGCAACACATCATATATATACTTCCGATTGTTTTTGTATAGTCTCAAATAAATTTGTTTAAGGTTGTGAAATGAACTCTACCAAACCACCTAATTTTATCCAAATAATATAATTTTAAGATTCCTTTTTTAGGGCTAGTGATGGATATATATATCTTCCAAAATTTCGTTTGTAATATTATTCATTCATTTATATGAAAATTGGAGTTTGCAACTGTTAGATCATCACCTAGTCGTCATAAATAGTTGATCTAATGGTTACAAACTCGACGCAATGATTCCGTAACGAGACCGAAGCATCTTTCTCAATATTTCTTCTGGAAAAAAACTATCAATATTATATTGATTATTAATGAAAACTATTTATAATTAAGGCAAGTTTTTTCAATAAAAAAAAAGTAGATCAATTGAGGAGAGATACGTATGTTGCGCTGGTTTTGCGGGCACACAAGAAGGGATAGAATCCGGAATGAGGATATTAGAGATAGGGTCGGGGTGGCTCCAATTGAGGATAAATTAGTTCAACATCGGTTGAGATGGTTCGAACATGTCCAACGAAGACCTCCTGATGCACCGGTGCGTAGGGAGATTCTACAGGGGGCCGTAGGCATGGCCAGGTGCCGGGTCTGGGCCCAGCCCGGCCCGACCCGCCGGGTCGACGGGCCTAATTTGTTGGGCCCGTAACCGGCTCGGCAATTCCTATGGGTCGGTTCATTTGAACCGGCCCGATGAACCGCTGGGTTAAAAAAATAAAAAATAAAAATAAATAAATAAAAAACAACTATGACCCGTCGAAAAATCTGAAACCGGCCCGACGGGTTAAAAAAAAAACAGGAGATCCGAGACCGGACCGCTTGGACACGGTCCGGTTCATAGGCCCGCGCGATTCCGGGCCGGTATCGTGGCCAAGTCTAGCGGGCCAATGATGTTAACAGAGGTAGAGGTCGACCTAAACTCACTTGGGAAGAGTCGGTTCAGAGAGACCTTAAAAATTGGAATATCTCCAAGGATTTAGCGGTGGGATAGGAGCACTTGGAGGCTAGCGATCAACGTGTCGGAACCATGACTTTTGCTCGTTTCTCTTTTGCTCGTTTCTCTTTTGCTCCAATCTCTTCATTTGTTTTGTTTTGTTTTGAGTTTTGTTTCTGTTTTTGTTTTGTTTTGTTTTGAGCTCTTTTTGTGTTTCTCTTACCACTGTTTCTCTTGTGTTTCATCTCTAGCCTACCTCAACTTGTTTGAGACTAAAAGACTTTATTGTTGTTGTAGTAATTAATTTTAGTTAAAGATACTATACAGATAATAACTAGATAAAACAATGGCCGCCAATGTCACTGGAGTACGTATATGGTGGACAAGGATATTTCGTAATTAGTCAATCAGAGATTCGAAAATTGTTAATTAATTAGTCATACACCACCAAGAATTAAATAAATTAACAATGCTTTGCACTAATTAATTATACATGAGTAAATTGTGGATAGGGCCGTTAAACGGATCCAATTGTTCGGGAATATAGTTCGATTCGATTTTTCAAAGCTCTAATTCAGCTTATTTGTTTATTAAATTAAATGAAACGAATTGAAACAACAACCAAACGAGACACACCGATCTTATTTGCAGAAATCTTGTTTTCATTTTTTTTCTTTTGTGACTTTTATATGAGAATGAAACAGTTAACTCGAACTTGTTAATGAACATCTCGTCCAAGGTGTTAGATTGGTTAAACGAGTGAAGTTCAAATCGAGCCTTTTGGATCGTATACTGAACGAGCTAGTAAAGCCAATCTGACTCGTTTATTAAACAAACACGAACTCGAACTTAAGCAACTCCACTCGAATAACAACCCTAATTGCAAAATACCATTCTTCCTCTATAACTTATTCACAAATTTTTAAATCCCTACCAAAATTTACATCTTTCGATCCAATGGCTTAAATCATGGAAAATACCAAAATTTTCCTCAGCCACAAAAAAAAAAAATAAAATAAAATAAAATATATATTAGTGCGCCTGATCCACTGCACCCGATCCAGGTGCACCCATATTTCCCATTCGCTCACCAATTTCCCCACTATTTTCCTCACAGCCCCCTCCGAACGACGTCGTACTGTCCCCGCTGCTCCAACTGCTCTTGCTCCGAAACGACGACGCTCGGCTCCACATCGGCGTCGCCAGGAAGGTCGGCCTGTCCTGCCCCGCCATGATCACCAGGAATTTCTCTTCCATCTCCGCCGCAGGCGGCGGTGGCGGCTCCGCCTTCTCGGCGGCGCCGGCCTCGAGATCCTCCCCGTCACTGCGGCCGGAGAGCTTCCAGTAGGAGCACGCCAGGATGAGGAGCGCGAAGGCAATGAGGCCGAGCATCGCCGCCAGGCCGCCGAAAAGGTACGGCACCGGCGAGTGCCACGGCGACCTCTGCGGCGGCGCCGCTGATCCTCGTAATTCCGCCATTTTTATTTCAGGTAACAACTGTGTATTTTCCCCTCTGTTGAAAGAGACAGTAAAATCAATTTTCCGATCGGTGTTGTGTGTGATGAGAAATTGTAACAGACGGTGGGGCATTTTATAGAAGGAAAAGAGAGTTTAGTGGATTTTTTATGTTTTTATTTATTTATTATTATGTTTTTTTTTTGGTGAATTATGGCGTCATTGGCAAAAAGATGAAGAGTGGGGCCAAGTGTACTGTTAAGCTTTATTATAACCATGCATAGAAAAACTTCGCTTAGCTTAGCTAATAACTAATAAATTAGTTTATGATATATTTTGGTAATCGGACTGTTAGTGGATTGTATTATCTGTTTTGACTGACATATTATGTTAACTGTTTTAACTAGCTGATTTTATTTGCGGTTTGCAAAAAAGTATTTGATAAAATTAACTATTTGTAATCTGTTGTTAGAATGTAAAATTACTTATATGACATTTTTTTTTTTTTT